ATATATATATATTCTATAAGAATATAATAGAGACATAATGACAACGAGAGAGTAACAAGAATGCAGCACTGGTGAGGTCTGAACAAAGATGAGCTGCTTGTGTTTAGTAAAGGACGCTGTAATTGCCTCAGACATGAGCACGGAAATCGACCGTGTCACCACAGCGGACAGTTTTCACACCTGAATTCTGCGCTGCAGTGTGCTGTACACAAACACAGCAGTTCGTAATGCTTCGTACCAGGTCTTGTTTCTCTAACTTATATTTGTTGAGCAGCTCTGAGCTCACTCTGTTTTGATTTCTAACATGATCTCAGGTGCACGTTGTCGAAACGCCACAGGGGGAGGATTATGAAGGCAGGGTTTTCAACGGGAAGAGGGTAAGATCTGTTGAAATCAAGTCTCTACCTAAAGTCATGTGATTGTTTATAGGTTTGTATTATTTATTTTTAATGATAGGTAACAGGGGTGTCCATCCTGCGAGCGGGGGAGACCATGGAGCCAGCTCTGAGGGCGGTCTGTAAAGACGTCCGCATCGGCAAGATCCTCATCCAGACCAACCAGGACACGGGGGAACCAGAGGTGCTGAGCTAAACTGGAAAACATAAATAAATAAATTATTGGCCCAAACTGGAAGACTTTCAAAACTTTTAGAAACAATTATCTGTCTAGACCTTTGACACAGGATTTAAAATAAATGTATCTTTATGCTGTCTGTCTATATTTGTACGGTAATGGACTAAAAAAATAATATTTGTAGGACTTTTAACATCTAACTCTTATGGTTTCAAAGTTTTGAATAGAGCTTTGATTATGAAGCTCAAAGATTTTAGTAGCATTTTTGTAGGCGCTGCTGTCTGAATTTATAACGTTATTGTAATTTTGTTTTCATAGGTTGTCACGGTTCTGTTGCTTCACCGCTGCACGTCGCACTGGATGTCAGTTTTGTTCTTTAACTCCCGTCTTGTCTGTTCCTTTTAGCTTCATTACCTTCGCCTGCCCAAAGACATCAGTGAAGATCATGTGATTCTGATGGACTGCACCGTGTCCACCGGCGCTGCTGCCATGATGGCCGTCCGAGTCCTGCTGGTGCGAGTCCCTAAACGCTCCCCGGCTTTACCCTCAGTGAGCTGCGGTCAACGTGTGGCCTGGTGTAATTTGGACCTTTTCGTTTCAGGACCACGATGTTCAGGAGGACAAGATCCTGCTGGTTTCTTTGCTGATGGCAGAAATGGGAGTCCACTCAGTTGCCTACGCTTTCCCACAGGTCAAAATCATCACCACAGCCGTGGACAAGAAGGTCAATGACGTCTTTCACATCATACCTGGCATTGGTGAGTGATGCTGAAACATCCGAGGCATCTAACAGTGTGACTGTTTACCAAGCATTCATAAACTACTGTGGTCCATTTTTCTTCAGTATGATTTTTGGCATGTTTCTTATTCCACAATTTTTGTGCTATTTCAACAAATCATATGTCAAACGTTCAGCTCTTGCAGGAGAAGGGTTATTTGACTTTTGGTGTTGGTGCAACTTTAGCTTTTTGAAATATTTAGCCTTTTCTGTGTTTTTTTCCCTCATAGAAAATGAATTGGGCTCATTTTACATCCTTCAAATCTTTAGATCTGTTTACAACCTTTTTCTGCTCCTTTCACATTTTGTTCTGGTTCACCTTCTTTCAGCTTCTTTGTGCAAATTTAAACTTTTTTTCAGCTACTTTCAGCTGTTTTTTTAACTGTTTTGTGCTCCTTTCAGATTCTTACTACTAACTACAACATTTTTGTGCTTCTTCTAACATATTTCTGCTAATTTCAGCTTTCCATTCAGCTTATTTATGCGTTTTAGCTTTTTCTACTATTTCAGCTACTATTTAGCTGTTTTATGCTAATTTAGCTTTTTTGGGGGGGTCTAATTCCACATTTTTTGCACCCATTTCAACTTTTTTCAGCCTAATTCAGCAAAAACATGCTCGCTCCTCTTCCTTCTGGTAATTTAAGCTTCTTTCTGCCTTTTTTTTTTTGGGGCTACTTTTTAATCCTTCTATTTTTCAAGTTTCAGCTTTTTCAGATAATTTCCAATTTTGTGTGCTCGTTTGTGCTTCTTCCAGCCTAATTGGGCAAACGTGTTCTTTCTGCTTTCTTCTGATAAGTTAAGCTTGTTCTTACCTTTTCAGCTACCTTTTTAGCATTTTTCAGCTATTTTGTCTGTTTTCAGATAAATTCACATTTTTCATGGTAATTACTGCTACTTTCAGTCTAATTAACTTCTTTCTGCTAATTTAAGCTTGTTATGCTGCTTTCAGCTTAATTATGCTAGTTTCAACTGTCTTTTATTTCAGCTACTATTTAGCGGTTTTATGCTAATTTTAGCTTTTTCAGCTGAGTTCACATTTTTTTAGCTCATTTCAGCTTTTTCTGTTGCCTTCCGGTAGTTTAAGCTTCTTCTTTTCAGCCTTGTATTTGTTGTTGTTGCTAATATCAGCTTTTTTTTTAGCTACTTTCCTAATTTTCTGCTAATTTCTGAATATTTAAACACATTTCAGTAAATGTATCATTTCTGCTTTCTTCTGCTAATTTAGACCCGTTCTTCATTTCATCTACATATGTATTTCAGCATATTTTTAGCTAATTTCAGCTGTTTCTCAGCAAGTTCTTCAGCAATAAGCATTCACACTGCATTTTTGCAGGAAATGCAATTTCTCTAGTTTGTATTAATTCTCTGTTTTGCTACATGACTTTATATATTCAATATGTTTTTCAAAATAAAATCTGTTGTTTTGTAGGAAACTTCGGGGATCGGTACTTCGGGACGGACGCACCACCTGACTGGAGCGACGACGACATGGATGAGCCCATATACTGATCGTTACTTTACTGATTCAGGACTTTCTCCTCTGTGGGAGTTATGAGTACAGTTTGCCTCTGTGTGGCTGCCGTGTAGAAAAACAAGACGAACCTGAAATCATCAATTGAAAATAGATAAACAGGTTATTCCTGTTGTTCAACCTGATCTGTCAACTCTATTACGTCTCGCATGGATGCTGTCGAGAAACTTTGCCGTTTCTGGTTTTGTACAGAATGTTAGATTTGAAATGTTTAATTTTATGCTTAGATTGAGACGATCTTTGGACGTGTGCAGGTATGTTTGAAAGACCTGCGCTGCCTTTGTGCACTGTGGACGACACATCTGAATGTGAATTTGCACGTGTTGCTAAGGAAGAAAAAACAAACTCTAGAGGGTTTTTTTTTTTTTTTTAAATATGCCTCCTCCTTTGCCACTTTCAGAAAAGTAAAATCGGAACATGAACTCGTCTTGCTCAACTTCCATCGCCACAAGCACTTTCTGAAGGACCATTCAATCGGAAAACGTGTGGGTGTCTACTTTTTTTTTTAGCTCTTGTTCGCCCTTTTCCTTCTCAGTGGAAGCTGACCTACAGCTGAACAGGGGTGTTGAAAACCATATTTCATTATACAGCTTTAAGTGTGTACTCGTGGAGAACATTCATGCCGAACGTTCATTTACATATTTACACTCGTGAGTTGATCTGACCAGTTAGCCGACTTGTTAGGCCCGAGCAGCAAAGCGCTGCGAAGGCCTATTGTAACTGTGCTGTTTATTATTATTTTTCTTGGGACTTTTGGGACGCATTTTTGGAGGCCTTAACATATCCCAAAACTCACCAAACTTCACCAAAAATTGTCCCCCGCGTGAAATTCTTGTACTGTAATGGAACCAAAAGTGGGCGTGGCCAAACTGCTCCACAGCGCCCCCTAACGTGAGATATGACAACTGGTAAGTCCTAGAGAGCTGAAATTTGGTACACATGTACAAACCCCTGAATCAAGAAAAAAAGTCTCTTGGAGGTATGCCTTAAACCCAACAGGAAGTCGGCCATTTTGGGTCAAAGGGTCAATTTTGGCCGTTTTTCACTTTTCGTACACGGCGAATTTGAACGAACTCCTCCTAGGGATTTCGCTCAATCGTTTTCAAACCTTCGCCATTTTGCTCAGTAGGCATGGGGGACCAAAAGTTATCAAAACGGTGCAAACCGACGCATGTTGAGGGGGCGGGGCCAGGCCTCAAAGTTGAGCTTCACGCCATAAATTTCCAAACGTTATAACTTTCACGTTGAAAAACAGAATCGTACCAAATTTGGCACGAGTCATCCCTGTCCCATGCCCGACGATACCCTGAGGTCAAATTTTGACGTCATCAAAGCCCCGCCCCCTCAGAACAGGAAGTGACTTTTTTTGCTTGGAATGCTCCCTCCCTGACACTCTTGACCCAATCAGGATGATCCTGTGTTAGAAGGCAGATAACAAGTTGGTCTGACTTGCTTTGAAGCGCAAAGCGTTTCCGCTGGAGGATGTGGGCGTGGCGGCGTGGCGAAGTCAGAAGTGACGCCGTTACAATACGTTTGGCTCTAAATTCCACAGATTTGATCCGAGGTTCATGAAAATCACTATGATCGATCATTGCCCGCCCCTTGAACAGGAAACCATGATAATTGCGCAATAGCCTCTCTAGCGCCCCCTAGAATATTTTAAAACTTCAGCCCCGAGCCATTTTTCGACCGATAAATCTGAAACTTGGTGAACATGTGTATCTTCTCAGGACCTATGAAAAAGTCTCTTGGCGCTCCGGTCCAAACTCAACAGGAAGTCGGCCATTTTGTGTCAAAGGTTAATTTTTGGGCGTTTTTAACGGCGAATTTTAACGAACTCCTCCTAGGGATTTTGAAGGATTGCCTTAAAACTTGGTTATTAGGCCTTTAAGACATTGGAGAGTAAAAGTTATCAAAAGCTTTCGGTTTCGTTTTGTTAAAGGGGCGTGGCCGGGCCTCAAAGTTGAGCTTCACGCCATAAATTTCCAAACGTTATAACTTTCACATTGAAAGACAGAATTGCACCAAATTTGGCATGACTCATTTCTGTCCCATGCCCGACGATACCCTGAGGTCATATTGTGACGTCATCAAAGCCCCGCCCCCTGAGAACAGGAAGTGACTTTTTTGGCTTGGAATGCTCCCTCCCTGACACTCTTGACCCAATCAGGATGATCCTCTGTTAGAAGGCAGATAACAAGTTGGTCTGACTTGCTTTGAAGCGCAAAGCGTTTCCCCTGGAGGATGTGGGCGTGGCGGCGTGGCGAAGTCAGAAGTGACGCCGTTACAATACGTTTGGCTCTAAATTCCACAGATTTGATCCGAGGTTCATGAAAATCACTATGAACGATCATTGCCCGCCCCTTGAACAGGAAACCATGATGATTGCGCAATAGCCTCTCTAGCGCCCCCTACAATAGTTTAAAACCTCAGCCCCGAGCCATTTTTCGACCGATAAATCTGAAACTCGGTAAACATGTGTATCTTCTCAGGACCTATGAAAAAGTCTCTTGGCGCTCCGGTCCAAAACCAACAGGAAGTCGGCCATTTTGGGTCAAAGGTTAATTTTTGGGCGTTTTTAACGGCGAATTTTAACGAACTCCTCCTAGGGATTTTGAAGGATTGACTTAAAACTTGGTTATTAGGCCCTTAAGACATTGGAGAGTAAAAGTTATCAAAAGCTTTCGGTTTCGTTTTGTTAAAGGGGCGTGGCCAGGCCTCAAAGTTGAGCTTCACGCCATAAATTTCCAAACGTTATAACTTTCAACTTGAATGACAGATTTGCACCAAATTTGGCATGAGTCATCCCTCTCCCATGCCCGACGATACCCTGAGGTCATATTGTGACGTCATCAAAGCCCCGCCCCCTCAGAACAGGAAGTGACTTTTTTTGCTTGGAACGCTCCTTCTTTGACACCCTTCACATAATCAGGATGATCCTGTGTTAGAAGACAGATAACATGGTCTGACTTGATTTAAACAACAAAACAGTTATAGCTGGAGAATGTGGGCGTGGCGCCATGGCGAATTAAAAAGTGACGCCGTTGCAATACGTTTGGCTCTAAATTGCACAGATTTGAGCCCAGGTGAACCAAAATCACTATGCTTGATCATTATCCACATCTGAACAGGGTTCCATGATAAGTGGCCAAGAACCTCAACAGCGCCACCTACATTCTTCTTACAGTTATATCTCAGTGATACAACATCCGATCTGAACCAGATTTTTGGTGCGTCATTACTGAGAACTGATGGACATTTTAGTTTTGTT